AATACTTCTCTCTTTCCTAAAAATTCATGGAAGTTAAGAAAATTGATCATGTTTTGTAGCAGGGGGAAAAAAAAAACAAAACCAGAAAAAAACCTCAAGATGTTTTTCTGAATTGACAAGAAAAATGAAAGGAGCTTAAAAAAACCAAAACAACAACAAAGAAAGCAAAAATCAAACACCTCCCTGCAAATTCAATTCAATCAACGTATTCATATTTTCTCACTTCAGTTTTGAATTACAGGAGGGAGAAGGTCAGTTTAAACTCACAATGAATTGATTTCCTGAAAATATTCTAAAGGGGCGTTTTGGTGACCTCAGAACTGTTGCAAATCATTCTTTAATAAGGAAATATACCAAAACCGAATCTTTCTCAAAAGTTATTCTGTTGTTTTGCGGGTTTTTTTGTTTTGTTTTGTTTTGTTTTTTGACAAATCAGAGGTTGTTTTTTTCCCCTCTTCCCCAAGGAAAGGCAGTTTGTTGAAGAAATTCCAGCCCACATTATCAATTATGAAAGTCCTGTGCTTTTGCAATAACCAGCTCAGTAGCCTACATCTAGATGGAGAATAACTAGTGACATGCAATCTTGACCTAATGAGCTTGTCTCCATTAGAAACTATACATCCAACTACACGTGTAAACATCACTTCAGTCTATTAATACCATCTGAAAGATTTCATTGGGTGAATCGAATAAATTGCTGTCATTATTTCTTTGCCTGAAACCCTCTTCTGAAAACAAAATGAAATTACTAAATAAAACAGATCCAATTAGATTTTTTTCTCTTCTAATCTGTCTCACTGTGATTAAGCTAGAGCTTGCCCACAAAGGCTAGCCTTAGGCTCTGTTGTACAGTAACCCCTTCCATGTTCCAACGTGTTGTTGAGGGTTTTTTCAAGCTAGAAAAAAAAGCAAAATATTGAGCTAGATGAAGTTACCAGGGTTACTGTTTCTTGGCTACTGTTGATATGAAAAAGAGATATAATTTTTAGAGTGAAACTATTCACAGAAACAGGGAAGAATCTGTGGATATGTTGATCCACATCATCATATCCTGCCTCCATGGGAGAGTTAGAATTTATTGCTGACTTTCTGTGCCTGGTTTGCCTTGCATATCAAAAGGGTTTAACTAATACTTCCATCCAAAGTACAACGAAAAGTTCAGTTAAAATGACTGCTTGTATAATAGAACACTTTTCTCAGGGGGGAAAAAAAACAAACAAAAAAAAGCTATTAAAAAATCTAACGGCCAGCACTATAAAGGTTTTTTTTCAAATATCAAAACTTTTGAAGAACTTTTGGGTTCTTCAAATTTCTTCATAACTTCTTGGACTCTCATCATTTTTCCATTTCTCCTTTTCTTTCCCCAGTCCTTTCTCTTTCATGTCTTTTTATCCCTCTACAGTCACTTGTGCCTTCTCAGCCCTTTGTCAGATACATATTGTCCACTCATCTGAATTCCTATATAGACTTTTTCCTTTCAATCTTTCCTTCCCTTCCATCTCTTTTACAATGAAAATTTATTTCCTGTGAAAGTGAGTAAATCTGTTTATTTGCTAATCCTGGAGTATCAAAATTTACCTAAATGTACCAGAAGCTGTATTCATTAGTAGGATGTTGTTCTGAAGACAGAGAACTAGACATCCTTGTAATATTAAATTATTTTCTGCATGTTCAGAGAGGAGGCAGAAAGAGTTAGATTGCATGGTGGAACAGTTACATGGACTATGTGCCTCACTTCATCACATCCAACTATATGGTGGTGTACTCAACAAGCACTCCTGGTCAGGAATTCACTAAAACTAACTACTGACTGCTTGTTTTTGAATATTTTCCATTGGCCTGTGACAACCCTGGACTATCTCATGTGATAAATTCAGAGGCTTGATGGACTGAAGCTTGCTATGCAAAATCTTTTAAAGAAATCAAGTCAGTCTTCGTTATCATTTGGTGCAATGAAATTGTATTTTGCAAAAGTGTATTTGTTCCTAGGTTTTATGTTAAACTTTAATGTGAGCATAGATATTTACCAGTATTTCAAGGAAAGAGTAAAAGGGAGTCGCTGCAAATGGGTTAGAAAGGATGATCAAGCAGTTCATGGGAGTGAAATATTTTGGTGGCCACTTGTGTACTCTCAGGATCACTTCAAAGACACCAGTAGGTCTACAGCTGTTACTGAAGGCTTCAGAGTAAATTCATCTGATTACATCAGTTGCAGTTCATTAATATAGGAAGGAGAGGATGAAAAGTGTCAAATACTCTAGCACAGCCATGTTGATATTGCTAGCTGCTGGTGCATACATGATATGAAGATGTCCTCAATTTATGTGCCTATGCTTTAAGCAAACATGCACCCTGTTAATAGAAATAGCTGCCATCATATACTTCTTACTGTAGTGTAGTTCACCAGACCTCCCTCTGTATTTGTTTCTCTTTGTGGGTACTTTTTAGTAGAAGAGCTTTGGGAAGTAGGAATTGCCTCAATTTTTGGCAAATAACTTTACAATAATACCTCATTAATTAAGGGCAGAACTCAGCTAATAGATGTAGCAAGCATTTTAATGCATGGAATCTGCTTTTAAATGTCAGCAGCGACTGCACATTTGAAGTTTTGTTGGGCAACTGATTCCATAACCTCCAGCCACAATTAACCTGTAATCAGGTTAAGACACGTTGAGTAACATACCAAGGTAGATCTCAATATATTATATGGTTATAAATATAAAGCAAAATAACTCTGGTTAGCAATGCCCACTCAAGTCCTCAGGACAAAAAACTTCAAAACAAATGCAAGTTGGTCAGTTCCACTATGCCTTTACTCTTTGGTAGTTAGCTTTCACTGTGCAGAATATATTTGAAGTGATGCTTAGAGTCAGCACGAGCCAAACGTCATAACTGTGCTAGCAGGATTTTGAAACTAAAATCAGCAACAAGAAGAAATCAAGAATATCAACTCATTGGCCCTGAATGGGAAAGAGTTCCTTCTTTTACATTTTCCATCCAGCATAAAACTAAGATAAACAAGTAAACCAAGGGAAAGCAAACCAAAGCACTCATGAAGTAGTGCAGGTGATCTTACCATTGAATCGTTGAGTTGGAAGGGATATTTAAAGGCCATCAAGTCCAACTACTCTTCAGTGAATAGGGACATCTACAGCTACATCGGGTTTTGGTCAGAGCAACTGATACAGGCTTTGATGGATGGGGCTATTCACAGTCTTTCACAGGTTATCATCTTGTTAAGCTCACTTTTGGTATGATGCCTCTTGTTTTAGCTTCCTGTAAAGCAAGATGTCTGGAGTTCTTTTAAACTCTTCAAGCACCTGAAAGGTACTCTAATGCTCTAATGTTAATTGTATCTACCCAGATTTAAACACTGGGTTTTTTTTTTTTTTTTTTTTTTTTTTTTTTCCCCAATAAATAATTGAATTTTTAGTTTGATCTTGACTCACAGTGGATAACCACCTTCTGGCAGTATGTGCCTCTTCCTGGCAAGTCTCCCATCTCCATAACAAATTGAGCATCCCAGTATGGAATCACTCATCAAACATGATCTACTGGGCAATGAGATCAGCTTGCTGAAGAGCAATGAATCCAATAAGGCAAGAGGCAGGAAAAAAATGTCACTGTTCATAATAAACACATTAAAATGTTTCTGTGCATGTGGGAATAGCGTATCTAAAAGATTTCAAATTCAGAAACAGCAGAATGGGAACAAGAAAATTTCTAAGGCGATATAAGAATCTGGCAAGTTGATCTATGTTCTGCCTCCTCCTGGGATTAACAGAGAATGTTCAACATAAAAGGGGCAAGAAATTTCCTTTATGCATTCTCTTCTTTTTATGTTGCTTCACACATAGACTTTCACATAAATATGAGGAAAACTTCACTCTTCCAGCCTAATGAAATACCTGGTATTTTCTTTCATGCAGGAATAGATGAGATTTTCATAGAAATTCAGCTGTCACAATACTAAGTTACTGCAACACATAGATGTTGAACAGAGCCAGCTGGAAAATTTAGAAGTTTCCACTTAAAATACTAAACAAAAACAAACAAACAAAACAAGAAACCCCCATCAAAACTGGATGTCCAATTGGTGTCCATTTTATTATAACAGCCTAAGCTTGCTCCTTTTTATGCATCCAATTTCTACTTTACAACTGGAATACTTCAAAAGAAAAAAAATTCTTTTTTTTTTCTTAAAAATTGTTACTTATTAGTAATGCCTGATTTCACTGATTAAAAATAGCGATAAAATTTAGGCAGTGATTACATCATTAAGATACACAGAATGCTGAGCCCTGGGGAAAAAAAAGTACATGGGATCCTAAACTCTGTTTATGCACTCCTTCTAATGAAATTTACAGGTATAAGGCCCTTTTAGGGGTCTTCAGAAGAACTTGCCCTTCAGAAGAACTGAATGGGTTGAGTAAGATGCAGTGATGTTCCAGTGACTGCAACACAGCCATGCCAGTGCAAAGACACTTTCTACCACTGTAAGGATTAGGGACTTGCAATTCCTATGGCTTGATGAGTCAGAGACTAACATGGGAGATCAGATTTCATACATGACTGTTTAGTTTAACAGTGGTTTAGAAGGTTAGAATGCTCTTCTTCAGCCACAAACCAGTGGACCTCCTGCAGGAGATCTTTAGGTGACATTGTACATTATGCTGCAGGTCAGATTAGAACATTACAAAGTTTCCTTCCAGTCCTTCTGTAAAAAGTAATCTCTGAATCCAGGGCTGGCCCAATTCAATAAGCTGTGCTTGTTTCCTGGTGAATTGTTATTCCAAATCTGATTTACTACTGCAAGGAGGGCTGAGATTTCAGCTATATTGCACAGAGAAGTCAATGCAAAGATTTGAGTGGATAAAGAGACGGGTGGTAAGAAGAAACCAGAGGATGCAAGACTATGCATCATGAAAATACAACATGATTTGGAAATGAACAAATAACAAGCAAAAGAATGAAAATGTCAATCGATATAATTATACGTACCATCACACCCATTCGTTCTCTTCCTGTTCTCTCTTCCCTTTTGCAGCCATTTACTCCCCTCTATAGAAAAGAGAATAATAGTGCTATCATTCCCTCTAACTTTTTACATCATAATTATTTTAATACACAGATTAATTCAGAGGGAAACTTTGTTGTTTCCATTTTTAGACAGACTCCATACTCTATTTCCGTGGCTGCTCCTTTGAGCTTATTTCTGCATGGCAAGATATGAAGGTCTTTGATATGCAGGTTTCTCAAAAAGACTTATCCTCATTTAAAAAGTACCTCTATTTGTAGACATTCTTTCCCATCTTTTTTTCTGCAATTACTCCCCTCATAGTCAAGTTCTGCAAGATGTTTCTTCCATCTGGGCCTGGTATTTATTTCTCTCTTTCAGAGATGGAAATTACTTCATCACCCCTGAATTCATGACACCAGACATATGTAATCAGAAGAGCTATGCTGTTTCTTACCGTATCCCATATCGCTGACTTAGTCTTATGGGCCTCTGTAACAGTGATTAACACAGACTATATGCTAAAATCATATAATTTTTCAATAGTTTTCATTCCACCTGAATTCTTCTGAAAGACATATTCTTACCCTGAAAGAAGGGGAAAAAAATGGCAGTCCCAACAACAGGATTTCCCTCAGCCCCAAACCCCATCATGTCATTCAGAAAGATCTCTTCTGGTACCACAGATGTTTTGTGCTTTTATATGAAACAGGAGACTAACTGATCTCCACAAGTCTGGAACAGTGGCTCCTTTTATTTTCAGCCAGTGTGGGTACCACATTAATCTGAGAAGAACTGCTGGGGAATTATTTTTTCAGAGGTTCATTCATAGCAAGGTTGGGGCAGGGGGAGTGCAATCTAGACAGATGTCAGCACAGAAGACTTGACTGTGCTTCACTGTCTAGTTTATGGCTTTCATACATTGCCCAAGGACTGCGTGGCTATGGAGGATAAATCACTTTCTCACAGAGCTCAGTACACTGCTGGACATCTCAATCACAAAGACTACATAAAAAGCATTGTTAAATGCAAACTGGTTGCAATAGGACTAAGCTATACATATACTGCAAAAATCACAGAGATCAGCCCACTTCTGTGCTGCCAGATGTATTATTATACAGAGATATGTGAGTGCTGCTCCAAAAGTAATACCGCCTCTTTTATTATGTTGGCCCAAGATATCAGAGGCAGATGTTGGTGGTATGGCAGTAGAGGATGAATTTTCCCAGCAATGGGAAAAAAAAAAAAGAAGAAAAAAAAAAAAAACAACAGTGATTTGTAGCTCAGAATTTTATCTACTTATCTTAGCCATTGTAATTTCCACAGAAAAAATAAAACACGTTACCTTCGGAGCCACCTGTGTAAGTTACATGCTTGAAATGCAAGTTTAAAACAGGATATCTGGGAAAAAGTCTGAATAGGTCACCCGTGCTGTGTGAATTATTCATTTCAAAAGCAGAGAGTTGTTTTTCATTGGGAAATTGTGCTTTGCGATACTTTCCTACACAGAAGCTATATATTATCTTAACCCAATGTTGGATACAGGAAGCCAGCCTTATGGAACAAAGTTTCAGAAGAGCTCATCAAATGTTTCTAGCAAATACTTGTCAACAGTATTGAGCATAAACAACCTCATAGAATTCAATCGAGCAGCCTCACAGGTGCAACCAGGTTGAAGACTCTTCTACTGGGATTTGCCTCCAGTGAAGAACAAAACTTGGATTCTGAATTTTTGACTCAGTATCTTTCGTGAGAACATAATCACACACTACAAAATGCAAGAAACCAAATGATGGGTTATTTCTTTTCATCTTGTTTAAAGAAAGGTCACTTGATGGTTACTACTTTTCCCAGTGAAATCTCACCTTGCAGATGTACTGGTTTTGGTAAGCCAAATTAGAGTTGGATGGAAATCCAAACCGAGAAGCAAACCATGAACCATAACTCACTGCCTGATAGCAATGAATAGGCATAGATGCCACTGAAAGTTCTCACCTAGCCACATAAGCATTTTACAATTGCTTCTTAATGTAAAGGGTAAAGCCTTTTCCCTCCTTTTCCCATGGCCAGTGCTCGTATAATAACTCATCTCTGAGTAATAAAGTAAACAACATTACAAAATAATTTCTGAAGCCAAATATCTGATAAAGATGATTAATGCCTCATGAAATACCCAAGTCATATTTGCAATAATTGCAATATTTGAGATGGATAACAGAAGAGAATTATAGGATTTGTTGTAAGGCTGAATTATCTACAGGAAGTTCAGGCGAATGTCACATTACCTTCTAACTCGCTGGTACCTGCCAGGCACACTCCTTAGCTGCTAGTTTATTTGTTTTCAGGGTTCTAGAAATAGAAAAATTAAAGTTTTGAAATAGACTTTGTAAAAATACCTTCAAAAGTAAGATCATTCTTGAAAGAAACTGTATCGGCCTACAAACAACTACAGAAATGTACAAACTTTATGAAGTGCTTAGGGGGAAATAGTATCAAATAGTCGCTCAAAACAAAATTTCACGTTTGTTCAAGAAAAATGTTGCCAACAAGTACAGCTTTTTTTCAGTGGGGGAAAAAAGAAAAAAGAAAAAAAGAAAAAAGAAAAGGAAAAAAAAAGACACATTTCCTATTCAAAATACATTTCCCAACACAGACTCAATCTTAAATGCTTGGCTTGAGAGAAAAAACAGACTGAAAGGTACCTTCCTTACAGGAACTGAACTATTTTCATAATGTATTCCACAGAATACGATAGACTTTATGATTGACATTCTTTTTTCTTTTTTTCCCTCTAGATCACATAAATGAGTTCTCCTCCAGCGTGTGTCCAGGCTGTCTCAGTAGCTATCTGGTGAACAATAAGATAACATCTGATAAAAGAAGAATAGGAGAAAAGTTGCTATTGTTCACAACTGCCTACTCCAAACTTCTGAAATTTATTCACATGAAAGTATCTATTACATCATTTTGTTAGTAATGACTGAACACTTTGTAATGTTTGTTATAAGCTAAATTCACAACTTGAGTTGTTCTGGCTGAACACAACAGTTTTGTTTTGTTTCCATGATGCCTTAAGGTCCTTTTATAATCAGTCACTTCTCTGATGCTAATGAAAAGCCTTGCCGCAAATTCTCTAACTTAATTATTTTTCTATGACCACTCCTATACCCCCTAGCCCCAGATTGCACCAACATGAACACTGGCAGCAAACAAGAACAAACAGGGCATGGAAAAGGTCAAAGAAAATTTGTTTTCAACTTTAAAGGACGTTCCCTGTAAAACCTTACGGCATCTGCTGAGTCCTTGTAGCCCCTAGAATTTTCTGTACTCCTGCCAACTGTCTATTTCACATGGAACAGCAGGAAAGAAATATCTAGAAGAAAACTGGCACTGAGTTGTATGCCTCTCTGGCCATTCACACTACAGTCACAGTCTGATGTGAAAGGAACAAGGGAGAATTTTCCCCCCATTCCTAGGGCTGAAAGGAAAAATCAGGGAAATGCTTTGCAGGGTTAACCAATTACATCTTGTTGGGTAGGGATACAGCTAAGCCACTGCATGTTATATGTATTTTGTACAAGTCAGTCCCTAATAGCAGTCTGTACAGCTGCCTTTTCCTTAAATTTTGCACATTATCATTATTAGTGAAGACACTCCTACTTGAGACCTTTCTGGGCAATTACAAAATCCTGGAACAGGTAGGGCTGAAGATTAACGTTAAGCTACTTTGTCACGGCTTCTGTCCATACCCACCACCATCCACAGTGCCATGGCAGAAGGCATGATGGAAGGCATGACAGAAGTAGCAGCACGGCCTTTATTAGCTCCTCTTGTGCTCCTTTCATCACTTCTCCTGAAGATCATTGACTAAATTCCCTTCCTTCCTTGTTAGCACAGAGAGCATTTGGTCTGAAATCAGCTTAGTCATGAGCACCAGTGCAATTACAAAGTGCTTGTTTAATTGAAGGAAAGCCTTTGTTTTCCACACCCAATCTGATATTATATTACCCTGACTGTAACTGCAAAGATTTATAGAACTTGTACATGTCAACAGTGGCAATTTTTCTAACAAATTCTAGGGCAAAGGAACATTAGCAAACAACCAAGCAAAAAAGCTAGCAAGAAAGCAAGAAAGAAAAAAGCAACTTTGGAAACAATCATCTTTCTTTTATGCACAAGGAACAAATAACATCATGAGAATCAGGCATAAACGGAAATCAGCCTGCAGCTTTCACAAGTGAATAATCATGCACAGAAAACATAATGCTTTTGTTACAAATAAAGATGTAATTTGCAATTAACTAAAGAGCAATAACTATTTCTTCTAGAGCCAATGTAATGTGATTTTTACAGCGGGCATATTCTGATCTCATCAGCTTCCCTATGCGCAGAGAAGCCTATCTTGAGTTTTCCTGTTACAGATCAAAGTGACGGTTACAGATGTTAGTAAAACAAAGCCTCCTCTAGTATCAGGCAAAACAGGATAAAAGGCAAAACAGCAAGAAATTGAGCACACAGATATTCCAGTACTTGGGAGAGTATTTCTCCATTCCAGGAAAGGTGAACATCTACTAAATCCTGGATTTTAACAAACACAGTATTATGATAGATTAATAGTTGCTACCTATGTGTCAACTTTCCTGAGAATCCAATTTTTATATTCCTTGCTTTACAAGGACAGTTCATATGTTTATTTGCACTGCCATAATGCAGAGATGCAGGCTGTGATCAGAAGTCTATTGTATAAGGTGTTATACACACAGCTTCAGAGAGCCTTCAGTCTAAACAGGGAAATTCTGGAAGTCCCACAGGGAAACAAATGCTTGCAAAGTTTCCAAAAGAGAAGCAAAAAGTCTTTGGAAAAGCACATTTGAGTAGCGTTTCATACTCAACTGAAACTGTCTTGTTTTGGTAATGTATTTCCCTGAGTTTGTGTCATTAGGAGTCTCCTCTGTTTTTTTTTCAACAATCATACCAAAAGAGTTTCAGATAATGAAATTTAAGTGAGGCTCAAAATTCTATCCATAGCAAAATCTTCCTTAACTAGAGTCCCTTTCTATCAGAGAGTTCACCGTTTAATTAATCCTTGCAATTCATGCTTAAACATCAGGTACCAGGAATTCCTTGATTATTCCTCATCACAAAACATTGTGAAACTTCCACCACCTCAATATTTTCAAAATTAAGGCCCCAAATTTCTTCAGAAAGACATTTTGAATAGCTCTTCAAAATAAACGATGCCCAGATGTAGCTCATGTAATAAAAATGAGCAAAGGAAGAAAAAAGGTATTTCATTACACATTTGTCTGCATCCATGCAGAGACAAATAAATATGTACATGACAAAATGGAAGATTACCCTCTAAACATACATGTGCATGTGAGAAAGAAATGTGGGTATGTTAAACAGAAAATAAATGGTGGATGAGGCAAAGGGGTACAAGGAGATTACATATCTGGGTGTGCTGTGGCTTGAGGACATAATTTTCCATCTGTCTTGTAGAATGCATAAAAATCACAAAGAGAAACAAAAACCCAAGAGTAACACCAAGAGGATGCTTATGTTCATGTTCCAGTCCTTTTTTTCTGAATCTCTTCTCTCTTTACTTAACAGAAGCACAATCCCTTTGGCCTCTGCATGGGCTTCTGTATTCTCCAGGAGTCAGTAGAAAAGAGAGGTCGACAGACACATCATGTGTGTACTATTGGGCTGCATGGTTGGTGGTGTTTCACCACTTAAACATAATTAATGAAGAGATCTGCACTGAAGTTCAGCCTTACACAGTGGCAAGAAGTGGAGATGATTTAAGAAGTACCATTTTGGATATATGCACTGAAGGAAAAGGTGGGAAGAAAGAAGGTAAAGAAAAGCAAATTTTTCAATGATTATTCAGACTAAGACTTTAGCCTTCCATTGTGAACATGTAAATACACATTTATTCTTCTATAGAAATGTTGGTAGTTCAGTGAACAAAAATCTGACTTGTATTGAACTGTTGGAGGTTAAAGGAAAGAACTCACTGCCAGTGAGTTATCTTAATAAAAGATTCAAAGTAAATGGTGGCCATATTGCCACCTAGTAGTTGTTAGCTGATGTTCTTGTATTTTAACAGTTGAACATGGTAAAGTTACTCCACAAAAGTCAGACTGCAGATTTCAGTGTTGTTTTTCTGTTAAGTGAAAAATGGTATGTCTGCACTGTAATACCATGAAGAATTTCTTTCTTCATAACCCATCTGTTGAGTTGCTAACGATGTAAGCCTCTACTAGAGCTGAGCAGGCTAATTTTGTGAAAAGCAGAACATTTTGGTGAGATTTTGGTAAGAAAAACCTTGCATAAGAAAAGCTGTTCAGCTGCATAGGCGTCTGACATGCTGTGTGGCAGACAGGAGATCTAAACCTGTTTCTTAGTAAATGACCTCAGAATTTTTGGAGCACAATCAGAGAAGACCAAAGCCCGAAGATTTTTTAAGGCAACTGCAAGTCAAGGACCAGTTAGTAGGGAGGATGTCAAATGAAACTTGAACAGCTTCACAACTGAAGACTGCTGGTAGATTTCTATTTATAATAAAGGAGGAGACTGCGGAGTTACTGGACAAAATTTGCTAAAACACTGTCATGTACATGTTTTTATAAAATTTTACTAAAAAAGTTCCTAATGTATTAGAGTTTTAGCTAACATTCATGTAAAATTCCTTTAAGTCAGTTGGTGAGCAAGTACTTACGGTGCATCATTCATTTTGTTTTCACCTTTGCCAGCAATAGCTGAAGATGTGTCAGAAACGATGTCATGGCATACAGAGATTCTTGTTTCATTTTGAGGCTAAAACCAAAGCAATTTGAGAAAGTCAGGGGATGTGAGGCAAAGATAACAGGAGAACAAAGCTTTCCTGGTATTTTTTTCAAATAGGCCTGGACTGAAGGCTTAATGCTACTGAATTCCAGAGATGCTGTAATGGCATCTTGGATTCATCCTGGACACAACTCCTCAGTCATGCAGCTGCTCATGCAGTGTTGGAGTAGGAGGTCTCCAAAGAAAGTCCTGACCTGTTCAGACATCTCACTGCAGTTCAGATGCAGCACAAATATCAAATAACATTTGCAAGTTCTATGCATGGCAGGCAGCCACATCTCTGTAGATTCTAACTTTAGGCAAAACACTCCTGTAATAAAGTTTCTCTAGACTTCTGTTACATCGAAGCTATTCTTAAATTAGATAAGCTAGTTTTGTTTTGTTGTTTTGGTTGGTTGCTCCATTGTTAGCTTGAAAAATGAACAACAAATTGAGTCTTAAATATAATGTTTCTATTCAAGTGGGAATAGTGGTCTATAGATTCACTCTGAAGCAACGAATACCTGAAATTTTAACACATGCTGGAAAAGCAACTGGCATTTTTGACAAATCACTGAAGAGATGAAAATAGGGAATTTTCTAGCTGAAGTCTCTATTACTTCTCTACTGTTCACCTGACCATGATATTTTTCCCTTTAGCATTAACTAGAACTACAGTATAATCTACACAGCAGACAGAGAGGTTCCTATGCTTTGGATAAAGTATTTTAATCTATGGCATTTTTTCTCTGTAGTGGAGTCTTAAGACTTCGAGTAACAAGCAGCCTTTTTTTTTTTTTTTTTTTTTTTTATGGCACACACAGGAGTAAAATTCAATGTTAAATTTGCTAAATTAAACTTGTCATTGTCAAGAATCACAACAAAGAGAGAGATTTATTTAATATGCTTTCCACTAGAGTCAAGGATTGAGGTCGTGGTTTATGTTTCTTATGTAATAAGCATCAAATGAAAGATGCAAAAGGATTCTGTTTTTAAGACAGAGTTAAAATGAGATATTTAATATCCTGAAAGTTAGTGTGTATGATATTGCAAAGTCCACAATGTGCTGCAGTGTCAATTGCTGACTATGTAATTAGAGAGATTAAATGGACTGTGTTTCAAGAATAACCAGTGAAGCTATTCAGAACTAATTTCTGCAGCCTCTCAAGATGAGCTGTCTATTATAACTGCATGGCAGACAAGGCAGATACAAAACTCTCCTATGGTTGCAGGCTGGGTGAGAACAAGCACCTTGATCATCCCAGCACAAGCCTGAGATTCTCTTGAATATAAGCCACCAAAAGAAGCTCTGCACTTCCTCCAGCTTCACACAAAGACCACATAATACCACAATTTTACATGCCTGACAAATCAGGTTGACTGCAAAACAGTCCTAAGTTTATACAAAAGATGTATGAATATTGCAGACAAGTCAAGACCGCACAAAGCTTGTAGGCTGCGTGGAAATAAACTGCTCAGCTAGAGATGATGGTAAAAATTTCTCACCTGCAACTTTCTTGCACGTTTTTTCTTGTTTTGTATTTTGTACACTATTAGGTGGTAATCAGTTATCACCACCAGTAAGCCAAAGCAGTATAGACTGCTCTTTCTTGGCAAGAATGGAAGAATTGCAGGGATAATTAATTAATGTTACAGTATATAAATAAAAAATATTAAATACTTCATAGATGCAATTTTTTCAGAGTTGTATAATTACACAAAAGCTCCATCTCTGGTTCAGGAAGTCTCACAACCACAGATCCCGTGAAGCTGAAGAGTATCACTGCTTGCTTACCTCATCCTTGGGCATCCACATTTAACACCTATGAGGAGATGATTCAAAGCAAGAAGAACCTGTAGTCTGTCTTGGAACATTTGATGCTGCAATAAAAAAACAAATAAGCACAACATCAGATGGACCTCTTACACTATTTCTTTTCACCAAATGTAAGTTTTGTTAGATTGCTCTTCCACTGGTATACAGAAGGAAAATTGAATCAGGGCTAGAGGAAGTGTGTATGAACAAGGCATGTATGAGCACAGCTGAGGTCTTGCTTCTAGTAACTGAAGAATTCAGTTTCAGAAAAACAAAGACAGCATGGTTATTATGACAAAAAGTACCCTAAGAACGCATTATGAGGTCAAACTCAAAAGAATCTGTGTTGGTGGTATGAAAAACTAGGCACTGGCATAGGCTTGTGGGTTTTTTAATTCTTTTAATTATCTCCCCATAAAAGTTTCAGGCACTTTAGAATAACAATCGACCAAGAAATAAACATTCTATTCACTCTACGCTTTCAACTTCAGAGCAAACTGGTAACTGACAGGAGTCAGTATTTAAAGAATTTCCCAGTGCTCCAGTGGGTCAACTTTTCTTCACCGTCAGCTATCACAGTTAGTCTGCCTACTGGCTTGGAGTGGTTTGTTTTTTTTTTCAATTTTTTTTTTATTTTTTAGAGAGTCTGTATTTTTTATCTGTATTTTTTTTTACAAGTTCCTCCAATCTCTGCTACGTCTCCCTACCATCTAATTAAAAATCAAAAAACGAAGCTGGAGAATCAGGAAAATATTATCCCAATTTTAGGAGAAAGGATGGTATCTTTCCACCTTTTTTTTTTTTTTTTTTTTTTGCTTGGATAAAGACTTTAGTAAGTTAATCACCATTCTATTTAAAATAAAGCCTAAATGAAGAACAGAAGCTTGGAAAAAGGAAACTACAGACCTTTGTCTGCCAGTTAGCTGTCGCTGATGTTTATTGTGACACAGCCTTTCAAGGATGTTTTTCCCATAGCCCTGCAATTCATAAAGCCTCTCTTCCATGTTGATCACAAGTGCTTAATGAAAGAAGAGTTTGAGATGCTATCTTTCCCTATGACAAATATTTGCCTCCTTTTGTAGGAACTGATTACCTCTGAAAATTCTACATGTCCACCAATTCTAGGTAAAACAAAACTGAGTTCAGAACTTCCTTAGAGGGTTGTTCAGATGGACAGGAGCACACAAGTACACAAACACAGAGGCAGTAGTTAGGACTCATTTCTTTAGGAAACCTGAGCCCATGCTCAAGGGTGGGTTGAGAGCCTTCTGTTAAATCCAGCTGAGTTCATGAAATGGTCGGGCTACTGGAGGTTTGCGTAAGGCAGCTGCACAGCGGCATCTGACCTACTGCTTAGCTAAGCCCCAGCTCTGCCACCAGCAGCACCACCAACCAGGAAATTAGCAGGTGGGAGGAGACAGGGAGCAAAAGGTAAGGGGAAAAAAAAAAAAGAAAGAAAGAAAGAAAGAAAGAAAAAAGCTTTGCTAGCTAATCTGGTTGATTGATGTGATTAATTGCCACCCACACAGGTAGGTGTTGCTACTGTTTATTTAGCACTCTGCCAGCAACAAGTGGTTGGGATTCCTTTTGGTTGCTCCATAGACTTTGTCTACCTGGAAGTCAAAACCAGTTGTGCTTTATGCATCACCACCAACTGAACAAAACATCAGGAGCATAGGGTAAACAATCCTCAACAGCTGGATGGCAGAGAGACTGCAGGCACTTATCTCTTACCAGGAGCTACGAGCAGGGGGAGACAGACAACATTCCTTAACAAAACTCATTTTCTTCTGAAATGGTTCCTTCATCAGAAGGATGCTAGTGTAGCACTGAGTAAAAAAAACTCACAGATATATTAACTCCTGGAAGCTTGCGGGCTTAAAGATTTAAAGCATCTCCTTCGCGTTACAGTTAGCAAAATGGGGGGAAGGCAAAAGGGAAAAAAAAGAGACATAACAGGACAGTTCTACTGAGGAAAGAAACTTAAATTCAAGAACACATAAATTGTGTAAAAAGTGCTTGGAGCAGGAACTACTTTTATTTGGGATTTTGGTTCTGTACTTACACATCCTGCCTGGACAACATTTAGTAGGAACTCCTACACTTACGAAAGATAGTTTAAAAAATAAAATAAAATAAAATATTCTAACGTAGAATACATATATGCATATTTTCTTTTCACAAATATATCTTTCTAAAAATCTTTTCCAATATTAGCCACTGATGAAAAGTATATTTTGAATACAACTATGCAAGTCTGCAAGAGCTGAATGACTGTTCACTCTTACCAACTGGTGCATGTAAAGATAAGTTTCTGTTCCCCTGTCAATCAGAGCAGTTAGCATTTCAGGTATTGTATCCTTCTAGAGATCAGGTTGATTTGCACCAGTTTCCACATATTAAACATAATAGTGTGCTACAAACACGCCAAACATTTTCTAAGATTTCATCTTCAGTCTAGCTGGCAACATTTTTTCATCATATTAGGACTTCCCAGTAAGTCTAGGAACATGCATCTCCTTCAGTAACCCGCACAGCTCCAGGCCTGTTCTCAAGACACAACATGCATGCAGATACTTGGCAAAAGAAAAACCTAGACTATGGGAAAACATACTTTGGTCAATGATCTATGCCTTAGAAGAGAGAAAACATATGAGAAAAAGAGGTAAGTTGATCAGCAGCTCTGTTATAAAAGGAAAGCTACGGAGGGAGCTTGCAGTACATTGTGTCATGCTGCTTCAGTGCTTTATCTAAGCCAGGGAACATACTGAGTGTGGTTTTCCCAGCTGAAAATAGGTGTCCATTGTTTTCACTTTTGGTCAGAAGCCAGTTAGTTGTCAAACAGGCTCATCACAAAATTGTTAGTGTGCAAAGCAAAAGAAGAATACTTAACGTACATGTTCAGTGTGTCAGAAATAAAGTGCAAGTATTTCCATCTGGAATGGAATGGATGGTACATCTTTGTTCACAGGCAATCAAGATGCAAATCTTCCTATTAAGCTTGGGTTGACCCAATGGATGAGGATTTATAGACAATTGGCCTGCAACACCCAGAGTAGGCATTACACAGAATGTTTTAAATTCTGTGGGACAACTACAAAATTATACCCCCTCTTGAGTGTAGCACTGGGGATCCAATATTTCCAGTTAGCCACTGAAATTTTATTTTGCTCTCAGTGTTTTCAGATGACATAAAGAAATCTGAATTGTCACAAGTTCAAGCCAAAGTCGCACTGTACCAGAAAGAATAAATTTGTGCTAGCACTAACCAGTAACAACAAATCTGAGATGTATCACATGCCTGCTTCCGCCTATTAGTGTATGTGCATTCCTTAGTATGTAATTAGCACTGTTTACCTGATTAGCCAACATCTCTCGGCCTAATCTGTGGCATTAAAACTAATCACCCAGACATAGCAAATGCCACATTTCCAGTTCAGGGATAGACAAAGTCCAGCCTCCGCCTGCTTCAGACTGTGTTTTTGGACCTTGCTTTATCCTAGCCAAAATGACTAGCAGAACGGTTTTTCACAGCACCACCAAGCATAATGAGCAGCTGTTTGGGCAAGGCTTTCCAGGCTATCCTTGGAGTCCAGCTGAGCAAGCTCAGGTGTGGTCATGTCCAGCTTGCCAACGCCTATCATGCCTGGGGCATCCAAGACTGGCCATTGCACGTATGAAGGATGATGAAAAGCTGATGCATGGCTGGATCTTTCTCAATATTGCCTAAATTCTTACCTCACTTGTGTTGGTTGCCCACATCAAAGCTAACCATTAGTATCAGAGACAATGGCTACTCAAGGCACAGGAGCTCTGAGATACCTGTGGGAATAGATCTCCAAAAGGTTAGTAAAGGCCAGCAAACATTGTGGTCTACCAGCTGAAGAATAGAGTTTAGAAAGAATATGGGCATGTAATTTAGCCACAATGAATAGATAATTTTATGGCTACATCAAACCTAGAGATGAATATTCTGCTCCAATACTGTATATATTACCTCAGATAAACATGTCTTGTATCTATAACATCAACTTTTGTTCCTAGCCAGACTTCCATTCTCTAAAACTATTGTGTCTGCACAGTGTTATACCTGCCCCACTAAACCTTTTGCAGGCCAGTACTCTTCTGCTGTTCATTAAGATGGTGTGCCTGTTTACCAGGCAGTGTGCCCTGGGTGAGACGGATCTTCTTATGTCCCACATTCAACAACCAAAACGCCCCCTCCCCAAGGCATTTCATCCATCAAGTCAGGAAAAATTCTCTGACAGTGTTGATGGGAAGAAGAACAAGCACAATAAAGATATTCACTCTACTGAACCCACTGTACATGAAATCAGTATGAGGGACAGTCTGCCTCTTAGCCAGGTTTGGCTGGAGATACCTGAATCAAATGATGCTTTCCCCATATACATCTCTTTTGTGTTTACCACAGGTATATGCGACATATGAGCTTATATTCTTTTTGCAGTGGTAGGTATCATGCCTAATGCCCCATTTCTATCACGTGCATATATGAATGCATGTAATACAGAATACATGCCATGCAAATTTATTTTCAACTACTTAAGATGTTTCTCCTTGAGGCACAGTTTCTGATTACCTTGTTTAGATGCCACAAATCTAAACCACTGGAAAAAAAAAAAAAAAAAAAAAAAAAAAGAAAGAAAGAAAGAAAAAGGGAAAGAAAGATATAGTTGAAGAGCATTAGCAAAGCATTGTGAAAGACTGCCCCTGGGAGGAAGCAGAAGTATTGCAATTTTAAAAATTAAAAATCCTGTACCCGCTTTGCCAATTCCTGTCACAATGAAAGAAAATTTCATTAAAGTGACCACAGTCAATTTTCTGCAACTCCACCAGTGTCTCTGTGCAAAGCAAAGCCAATAAACATGCATATATATGAAGGTGAATGGAACTGAAATACTTATATAACATTAAGAAGGACACTGGGAGTCTCTGCCTCCCCTTCCACAAACATTCTTCTGTCAAGGCTTCCTTCCTGCAGTAGGCTCACCTTCACTAATATCCTCCTGTCTTTTCTTTTCTCCTGACAGCAGGTCAGAGGAAGGG